CTCGGTGGTGGCCGCGTGTCCCACACCATGATTCGTTCCTCTTGCCATCCCTGCTATAAAGCTTTTTAGGGATTTGCTCCAGACCAAATGTGTCCATCCTCTCCCTGTGCCCTTCATCCTGTAATTGGATTAATTTCCTCCATCCAGGCTGGGCTGCTCCCCATCCCTTTATGTAACAGCGCCGCTGCGCCGCTCTGACCCGCAGCACTGACAACAGGCAGGTTTGCTGCACGTTGAATCCCACCTTGGCCCCTTTTTTTGGGCAATCCCTGCTCTCTTTCCCCTCTCCCGTGGGATTTGGGCTCTCTCCAGGCTCTCTGTGGCTCGTGCTGCAGCTCCAACCCAGCACGATCCCTCCGAGCTCCAGAGAGCCAAACCCCAACAGCCCCGGGCAGGGGAGCACAGGCAGGGTTGTCTGGAGAAATGATGTGTTTTCCCACCCCTTTAATTAATATTTATTCTCCTTAATTCCCAATCTTTACTGTTTAGCCCTCTAAAGCCTTTGTGGTTGAGAGGCTTTCGCTGAGGTTGCTATTCCACACCTAAGCAAAATATCCACGGATTAAACAGGCATTTTATCAAAAGTGAGCCCTGGGTGGGATCAGACCTGGCTGCACAGGCCCCGAGGCTCTGCAGATCTTTCAGCTGCTGTCACAATTTTCCATTCTGCTTTTCCCACATCCCAGCTGGGATGGATGTGCTGCTGTTCCTTCTCCCCAGTCTCTCCCGGGATTCCTCGCCTGGGATCTCACTGACCTGCCACATGTGAGTTTCTTTTTCACCCTGAAGCCATCCAGCTCTGCCTCCTTGTTCCTTCCTGGATGAATTGGTGCCTTGAGAGCCACAACCCTTCTCCTCTGTGGCAGATAAATGGCCACTGATTGCTGAGAGGTGCTGGGATGAACGGGGAGACTCCAGTGAGAGCACCAATAAATCCTGGGAATCTGGCATCATCCAGTCTTGGGAAATCTGCTGGCAGCTGGCACTTCTGAGCACAACGATGCTGGACCCCTTATGTCCCTCTTCTTATTTCTTTCCCACCTTTTATTCTCCGCCGCCCCCCAATTATTTTCCCTGGTCTTCTTTCCCTCTCTTCTTTTTTTCTCTCTTCTTCTTTCCCCACAATTGTTTTCCCTGCCCTTCTTTCCCTCCTCTTCTTTCTTTTCCTCCTCTTTTCTTTCTTTTCCTCCTCTTCTTCCTTCTGCTTGTTTTCCCTGCTCTTCTTTCCCTTTTTTCCCCTCCTTTTTCCCCACCCCAGCACCCCAAAAGGACAGTGGGGTGCCCAGGGACACCACCCAGCCCCATGGGACAAACCAGCCACATCCTCTCCCTGGGTGTGGGGCTGCATTTTGTACCATTCCTAAAAATATTCCTGATCCCTCAAGTGAAAACAGGGTGGCTTGGATTTGAAAACCAAAATGGGAACAGCTGAGCTGCATCCCATCGTGATTTCTCACCTCCTCTCCTTTCTCTCCTCACTCCTTCCAGATCGGGGAGAGGGTGGCAAAGGAGTGACCAAAAATGTAGAGAAACAAGGCAAGGAAACATTTTTCTCCTGTTTATTTCTTTCCTTATTTGAGAGTAGAGAAAGTTTTTATAAGCCCAGACATTTATTTTATTAGAAAAAGGGATTTTTGAAACTGTTTGGTTTTTTTTTTTTTCAGTGACAGTGTGAAATCCAGAATCCAGTGAGAGAGGATTGTTATGGGATAGGATGTTTTGATCAGTGCCTGTCCCCTCCAGCACTTGTAGAGAAGCCAAATCCACCCAGGCTCTGTCCAGAAAATAATTTTCCCTCTCTTTTATTCTTTCATGGAAAACTGAGGCAACAGGCAGAATTTCCCCAGTTTTGGGGTGTGCAGGTCACCTCAGGGCTGGTTGCCAGAAGGGGCTGGGTGTGCTGCTGGCAGGGGCAGCTCGTTCTGCCCCTTGTTCCTTGGCACTGCCACTGCTGCCAGGCCCAGTGGACTCCACTCCAGTGCCAGTTTCCTGGGAAAACGACTCCCAGTTATGCCAAACGTTTAACTTTCAGAACAAGCAGAACTGCACTCAAACCCATCCTACACATCATGTTTCTGTTGAGCCTCTAACCTCTGCTGCCACTTGGCACCGCTGCCCAAAGGGGAGTTTTGGGGACTGCAGCTTGCAAACTGTGCCAGGGATGCAGCAGGATGGAATTTTGGAATTACAAAGCTGGCAGGGAGACTTCCAGCTGGGATTTTTTAAAATTTTCATTTATCCTTGTTTTGCAGCCAGGATGTGCCAAAAGCTGCATTTATGGACTGGGCCAAGCCAGAGCCAGGAGATGCCTGTTGCTCCCACCTGCCCTGGCACTTCCAGACCTGGAGTCAGATCCTTTATTTTCAGCTCCACAATTCCTTCCTGTCAGAGCACTCTTGCATAATTAAGAGGTGAAGCTGGCAGGCTGCATGCAGCTAATACAGATATGATTAATTTTCATCCCTCTGTTTGATTTGGAAGGTTGTCCTTCCCCAGGCAGAAGGCTCCATCCCAGATGGATGGAAAGCTGCCAGCCAGACACGTCTTGGAGGGACAGTGGGACAAGACACGGGGAAGTTTAGTGCTTTGGAAAAGTGACCTTTCTTGGTAACTAATTTGTCACTTCCCAGCACCATCTGCAGACTCATCAGCTGCATCCATCATAACCATGTGAAGAAAAGGACTGGAAAAGTCGATTAAAATGGGAATCGGGTGGGGTTTGTGCAAATTGTTTAGCGAAGGGAGGGGGAAACCCCACACTGTGTGGGTGACATCCTTCCCACCACCCCCAGCCACAGTCCCAGGGAGGTTTCCAGGGAGCAAAGCTGCTCTGGAGTCTCTGGGAGCTTTCCATTGCCCAGGGGTTGATAAGCTGGGGAGGATGCCCAGGGATCCGGGAAGCACCTGAGTGCTGGACACGGGGCTTTTCAGGAGGGCTCTGTCCCAAATCCAGCGTTATTGACGGCTGTGACAGCAGCAGGTCCCTGCTGACACCTGGTGTGCCCCTGTCCTATTGACTGGCTGCGGTGGTGACAAACTCCATTCCCAGGTGACAATTGCCATTCCCAGGTTACAAATGCCATTCCCAAGTGGCAAACGCCATTTCCAGTTGACAATCGCTATTCCCAGGTGACAAATGCCATTCCCGGGTGGGCAGTCGCCATTCCTGGGTGACAATCACCATTCCCAGATGATAAACGCCATTCCCAGGTGACAATTGTCATTCCCAGGTGACAAATGCCATTCCCAGGTGACAATTGCCATTCCCAGGTGACAAATGCCATTCTCAGGTGACAAACGCCATTCCCAGGTTACAAATGCCATTCCCAGGTGGCAAGCGGCATTCCCAAGTGACAAATGCCATTCCCAGGTTACAAATGCTATTCCCAGGTGACAATCGCCATTCCCATGTGACAATTGGCATTCCCAGATGACAAACTCAATTCCCAGGTTACAAATGGCATTCCCAGGTGACAAACTCCATTCCCAGGTTACAAATGCCATTCCCAGGTGACAAACTCCATTCCCAGGTGACAAACGCCATTCCCAGGTTACAAATGCCATCCCCAGGTGACAAAGGCCATTCCCGGGTGGGTAGTCAGCCATTCCTGGGTGACAATCGCCATTCCCAGGTTACAAATGCCATTCCCAGGTTACAAATGCCATTCCTAGGTGACAAACTCAATTCCCAGGTTACAAATGGCATTCCCAGGTGACAACCACCATTCCCAGGTGACAAATGCTATTCCCAGGTGACAATTGCCATTCCCAGGTGACAAACATCATTCCCAGGTGACAAACGCCATTCCCAGGTTACAAATGGCATTCCCAGGTGACAAATGCCATTCCCATGTGACAATTGGCATTCCCAGATGACAAACTCAATTCCCAGGTTACAAATGGCATTCCCAGGTGACAAGTGCCATTCCCAGGTTACAAATGCCATTCCCAGGTGACAATCACCATTCCAGGTGACAATCGCCATTCCCAGAAGATAAACACTATTCCCAGGTGACAAATGCCATTCCCAGGTGACAAACTCCATTCCCAGGTGACAAATGGCCATTCCCAGGTTACAAATGCCATTCCCAGGTGACAAACTCCATTCCCAGGTGACAATTGGCATTCCCAGATGACAAACTCAATTCCCAGGTTACAAATGGCATTCCCAGGTTACAAATGCCATTCCCATGTGACAAACACCATTCCCAGATGACAAACTCCATTCCCAGGTGACAAATGCTATTCTCAGGTGACAAACGCCATTCCCATGTGACAAATGGTGTTCCCAGATGAAAAACTCCATTCCCAGGTTACAAATGCCATTCCCAGGTGACAATTGGCATTCCCAGATGACAAACTCAATTCCCAGGTTACAAATGGCATTCCCAGGTGACAAATGCCATTCCCGGGTGGGCAATCGCCATCCCCATGTGACAAAGGCCATTCCCAGGTGACAAATGCCATTCCCAGATGACAAACTCCATTCCCAGGTTACAAATGCCATTCCCAGGTTACAAATGCCATTCCCATGTGACAATCACCATTCCCAAGTGGCAAACGCCATTCCCAGGTGACAAACTCCATTCCCAGGTTACAAATGGCATTCCCAGGTGACAAAGGCCATTCCCATGTGACAAATGCCATCCCCAGGTGACAAAGGCCATTCCCGGGTGGGCAGTCGCCATTCCCGCTGTCCCTCCCCAGGCAGGCAGCAATACTGCTGCTCCCCGCCCTTCCCTGCCAGCCCACGGAGCCCGTGGATGCGGGAGGATTCCATGGCTTCCGTGGCTTCCCAGCTCGTTTTCCCTCCTGTCCTCGCCTGGCTGCTCCCAGACTCCCCCAGGAGCAGCAGCAGGATGTGCCTGGCCTGATCCCAAAGCCTCTGGCATCAGCTCCTGGCTGATGCTCCCGGGAGAGCTCAGATGAGTTCTTGCACAATTCCCTCCCTCTCTCAGCACCTCGTTTGTCTGGAGAGGGATGACAGTGCAGGATTTGTGTTCCCGAGGGGGATCAGTGTGCCAGGCTCAGTCAGGATGGGAGAAGGAGCCACTTCAACACTCAAAGTGGTAATTTTGATATTATTGTGATTTGCGATTATAGTAGAAAGATAATTGACACAGGTGTCATTGTAGTGCTGGGACATTCACATCCTAAAATCCTTTGCTCAGTGTCTAGAAACACAAGCCAGGAGAGTGGAATTTCTTCATATTGGAGAAACTGAGGCAGCAGCTGATCTGTGGGGCCACCAGGAACAGATGAAGAACCTGGAGGGGAGGGAGAAGACTGGATGTGCCTGGAAACGAGAAACTCTGAAAACTCCAGTGCAGATAACAACATTCCCTGCCTGGGAAAGCTGTTTCCATGCAGGCCAGGCAGCAGGGCAGGGTCACACCACAGTGCCTGGGTGGGTTTATAAAGGGAGGAGAAGCAGCAGGAGCACCCAGGTGTGTCAGGAGGGAGAAGAGCTCCGACCTCCAGTGTCCCGTGGCTGCACCCCCAGGTAGGTTTTGGCACCTCTTGGTCACAGCAGAGTCAGCTCGGAGGAGGAGGAGGGAACAAAATCGATTCTGAACAAGGGGGAAGTTGCTTTTCCCTCATGCCCATCTCGGGAGCACCAATTCCAGCAGCTCCTACCTCTGTGGGCACCTGGCACTGCCACAGAGCTGTGCCTTCTGAGCATGGGGAGCTGCTCTGAGCAGGCAGAAAATGCTCCTAGAGCCAGGAATGGTTGGATTTTTTGGGAATAGCTCAGTAGGTGAGTGTCCTGTCCTGTTGCTGTGCCAGCTGCCCACCCCTCCTGCCCCCAGACTGGCACTTGGCTGGGTTTTGGGGGTGAGCAGAGCTGTGTGTCTGCAGTGCTGATGCTGAACTCGGGAACCTCCTGCTTTTTTCTTTTCCCTTTGGAGCTGGGAAGCAAATCCACCGAGTGCTCTCTGCCTGGAGAGGGGCTGAGCTGGAGACTCAGGGCTGGAATACAGGTCCTGCTTGCCAAGCAAGGGAGGGTTTCAGCAGGGACATTTCTGAGTGGAGAGGTCTGTGTGGGTGTTTTTCTGGGAGAAGAGGGAGAGAATCAATTCCCAAAGGGATTAGCCAAGAGGAGATGAAGGAAGTGACTGGGTGTATTTTCTTTGTATTCAGCAGTATTTTATTTATTTATATATTTACTGCAGGGATAGAATAAATGAAAAAGCACCAAAGATTGATGCTGCTGAGGTTGTATTGCAAGGGCAGAGCCTGAGAATTCCTGCTTGGAGCCCTGCAGGAAACAGGGCTGGGACACCCTGGGATGTCCCAGGGCAGGAGGTGCCTCTGGTGGCCCAGTCTGGGTGGGCAGGGGGAGATGGCACCAGTGCAGTGCCCAGGGAAGGGGGAGGAGAGGATGTGACTGACAGGGGCTATGGAAAGGGAATATTTATTAACTTCCACTGGCCCTTGGTTCAATCCCAGCTGATATTTATGGGAAATCTAATTCAGGAGTCAAATCTAACTTAACAATGTCTTCTCAAGAATGTCCAGTCCAAGAGGTTGCTGAAACTAATTAAGGATCAGGCTCCAATCAGGTGAAGAAGTTAAGCTGTAGGACCAGACTTCATTAAGTCTGTCCAGAGAGACTATTTTAATATTTAAAGAGAACATTCAATGTTTACATAAGTCCTTTCCTGATGTGAAGCCATAGTTAGATCACTTCAGAGGTGGTTTTTAAAGCCTTTTATTCCAGGCTCAGAGCCGGGCTGGAAAACGCCTTTCCCATTTCCCTTGGACTCAATGAGGCTTCTTAAAAGATCCAGTCCACCCAGGAAGGTTTCCAGTGGCGAGGAAAATCAGCCCAAAAATTTACAAACCATCTGTGTGAAGGTTTTTCTCTTTGCAGCATCTCTGTCTGCCGTGCTGGTGCTGGGATTGATGGGTTTGTTCTGGATGTGTTCAGGTCTTAAACCAACACAGCTGCAGGGCTGAGGCTCCAGAACTCAGGGAGGTGGAGCAGTCCTGAAGGGCTGGGCTTGAAATCCCTGGAGATGTTGCTCCAGAACAAATCTGTTTACACAAACAGCTTTGAGAAGGGAATTGTCAGTCAAGGCACTTCTATTCTCAGCTCAGGAGCAACTGGAAGAGTAAATATCTCTTAGGTGGGCTGGGGCTGAGCTGGGCTGGGGCTGGTGTGGAGCCAAAGGCGTTTCTTGTCAAACCTCCCTCTCCACTCTGCCCTGGTGTCTCCTTCCCCGTGTTGTCCAGGCTCTCAGGATGGTTTCGAGGAAGGTGGTGGCCAGTTTGCTGCTGGTGTCCCTGCTGTCCGTGCTGGCTGAGCAGACCCAAGGCTTCATGCCCTTTTTCACCCAGAGTGACTTCCAGAAAATGCAGGTAACCCCTCTGCAATGAATAAATCAGGAAAGGTTTCTCCTGCCCTCATCCCCCAAACTGCAGTGACACTCTGACATCCTTCTCCCAAAATCCACGCCTTTGGGGGGAGGCAGAGGGAATTTTTATATAGAAAGGAAGAGCCTGGACCCCCGTGCCAAAGGTCTGCCACTTTGTGGGGTGTCACCTGCAGTCCCTGCGGGTCCTTTCCCTCTCCTCGGTGCTGGAATTCTTCCAGAGCAGCTGCAGCCTCCCATCAGCTCAGTGATGGCTCTTTTGTAGTAACAAATAATTAACCATCCCCCGGCTGGTTGTCACCTCTGGGACGTGCCGAGAGAACGTTTTTTCCTTTTGAAGTGAAACAAATAGCGCTGAAAGGTGTCAGGCAGGCTCAGAGCTGAACCACAGCCCCGGTGAGATTCCCCCGCACTGCCGAGCCCCTGGATACCGGGAGAAATCCCATTTCCAACACCTACCCCTGGCTAACAATTGCTGTTTGTGGGCAGCACAATTCCTCGATGGCCTTGAGGAGATGGGGACCCACGCGTGCTGTGTTTGTACTCCACAGCCCTTGTAGCAGGGACACGGTTTCTGGATGAACAAAGGGCAAATCTGTCCCCAAAGGCTGTCCCTGCCTGTTATAAATGAAAATTTGTCCAGCCAAATTAATATGAAAAAAATAAAATATTTATTTTGCAAGCAAATTCTATCTAGCCAGCCACAAGGAAAGCACAGAGCCGAGCCCGGGGTCGGCCCTGGGTGTGCAACAAGGAGTCAGCCTCAGCAGAGGTTTTCCTCTGTGCCCACACCTCCATCCTGGCACAAGTGGTTTTTATAGGGAAAATTCCACCTGAGGCCAAGATTTCAGCAATCAGTCTTTTCTTCTATTCAGAGTCCATGGGTTAATAAGATTTTCTTTTTGGTGATGAGGGAGAACAATTCAGTGTCAGGAGTTGTTGAATCCCTTTATGAAATTTATGGGAATTCGGGAACGCTGTATTCACATGGATCTGCCTGAGGATTTCCATGAGATCCATCTCGGGTCGCTCACACGATAATCAGCACCTGGGGTTTCTGTATCTCCCCAGATATGTCCCATCTCCTGGTGTCCCCAAATCCCACCACACATGGCCCATCTCCTGGCGAGCTGTACCTTCTTACTTGTAAATCAGTTTCCAAAATACACCCAGTCTCACCTGTGAGGGTTGGGGGGAATCCTAATACAGACATGTATACTCTAACAAATATTCAATATCACATATATCATATTAGAAATGGCGCAAATTATATCTACTGCACGTAACACTGCCCCTCCTGTGCTCACACGCTGGACGCTGAGCACGGCCTGTGCCACGTTTGACACGTCCTGCTGTGTCTGTCCTATTCCAAAGCACCTTTGGCTTTTTCCAGAGGGTCCTGAAGGCAGCTAAATAAATGGAGATGGGCTGAGGTTACAGACCTGCAGAAGGGCTGGGGAAACGTGACCTCTCTGCACACGCAGGGCTCAATTTCCTCGCAGTGCTCCAGCACAGAGCCAGGCCAAGTTCTGTGGGACAGCTGGGGCAGTGCTGTCAGCTCTGGGACTGGTGGAGTTCCCCCACCACACGTGGCTCCTGTTTACTGCAGACCTTCACACCCTGCCCCATAACCTGACTGACCTCACGCTCAGCACTGCTGAATTTCAGTCCCCAAAGGCCACTCAGGTCACAGCTGATGGGCCCTTCCCAGGAGGATTCAGCATCCTGCTGGTTCTGTGGCCAGTGCTGTGGATTCCTGGCTGTTGGGACAGCACAGAGTTTGGGTTTGGGTTTGCTGCAGTCCCAGCATCACCAACTGCCCCCTCTGCTCTCTGCCCCGAAGCTGCAGGAAAAGGAGAGGAACAAGGCAGGGCAGAAGAAATCCCTGAGCTCGCTGCAGCAGCTGGAGGAGGAAGGTTTCTCTGAGCAATCTGGTGTGGATGCCAATGCAGCCAAGACCCTCCAGGTATGTGGAGCCATTTGACTCTGAGAAGCCCACGAGGACGTGCAGGGGACAAGGAGTCCAAGAGGAGTCCAAGAGGAGTCCAAGAGACGTCCTCTGCCAGCCTGCCTGCTTACATCAGAGAGAAGTTTTAGCTCCATCCCAAATTATCTTGGTCGTTCAGCAGCCAGGTCACCCCTGAGACCCAACAGCTTCTCCCTGAGGAAGGTGGGAACAGCTTGAGGTCTCTTTTGCAGGCAGTGAAGCCCAGCCAGGTGCAAGGCAGCAGCTCCCAGTTTTGCTTCAGCTCCTGCTTGGTGCCACCTCTGACCCCACAGTTCTCTGCACTGGCAAAGCCTTATTTAAAATCTTGGCCTCAAAGTCTGTACACAGAGCAGAAAATGGGCAATTTGAGGGATTGAAGTGCCAGGCTAAGCCCTCAAAGGCAGATTTAACTGGTGAGCCAAGTCTGAAAATTGTGCTTTGCCACTTGAGCACAGGCAACTTTTTCCTGTGTGGGCAGTCACTCCTGCAAAAGGAGGGTGCAGGTCCCCCCAAACAGGGACAGACCCCGTGGGACAGGCAGCAGGACCAACCAGGCTGGAATTTGGCCAAGGCACAGCTTAATGTGCAGCTCCTGCCGCACCGGTGATGCAGCAGCACTCGGTAACAGGATTTAAACAGCAAAATGCCCAGTTCAAAGTGTGAAATAGCCAGCACATCCCCACGGCTGGCCAGCAGCAGGACAGAGCTCTTTGCTTCAGGCACAGCTGGCTCCAAGTGCAGCAGGCTGGAGCAGGACCACAGCTCATCCTCAGCTGTTGCTAGGGCAGAGCTCTGCAGGCTCAGGCTGGAAGGGTCCATGTGCCACACAGTGGAGGATTAGAAGGTTCAGAAATTATTTTCTTTGCAGTCCCTGCTGCCAGAAGGTGCCTTTATCTGGATTTCTGAGCCAGCCCACGGGTTATGCAACAGCGCTGTGAACAACTCAAGAGTGTGTTGCCTTCAAAATGTTGCTTTTCCCCATATGAGGCTCATCTTCTTCCCTCCAAACCCTAAACCTTCCACTAATTTGATCCAAGTGGGGTCAAAGCACCCCAACCTCCCCTCCTCTGCTCCCCTCACCATTTTTGTTCTGACTTCTCTGGTTTCCTCCACAGCAGGCCCTTCCTGTCAGAGCTTGGCTTACCCCAAGGCAGCTGGAAAAATACCAAGATGTCCTGGAGAAACTGCTGGCAGAGCTGTTACAGGACACCCCAGATGGTACTGTCAGAGGGTTGATTTCTGCCTTGGGAATTCTGCCTTTCCTTCTTCTCACCAGCTCATCAGCACAGAGATATTTATATTCCCCAGAAGGGTTTTTGTGTCATGTTTGCTCACTTTGTGGAGCCCTCAGATCCCAACTGCTCCCGTGTGCACCCTTCTGGGAAGGTTATTCCCTTGTCAGGTGCTGCCTGTGCCCCAGAGCTGGTATTGACTGGAAGCAGCAGCACAACCCTTCCCAACAGCTCTGTTTGTCACTTCCCTCCTCCTCCTCCCAAAAAGTCCTCGGTCTCCAGGGAACAATTTCCAGCAGAGCTTATAACAGCAACTGTACCTGCGAGGCAGCTCAGCATGTGCAGCCAGCTTGGAACACCTCGCTGCCTGCACGGGGGCTTAACACTGACACTTAATTACACTGCAATTTGCTGCAAATCCTCCTTTTCCTTTGGGAAATCGTGTGTGGGAATTGCAGCAGAAAATATCCAGGGGCAGGCTGTTGTGCAGCTCTTCCTGCCCGCAGGATGAGGGATGGTGGGATGGGGCTGTCCCTGTGCCTTTGCCTTTTCTGGGATGTTTAAGCCCAGGAAAGGGGGTCCCGCTCTCCCTGTGGGGTTGCTCTGCTCTGCCTGTGCTCAGCCCAGTTTGCCTTTGAGCTTTCAGCTGGGGAGCTGAGGAGGAGGAAAGAAGACATAAAGCTCTGGAAAGACTGAATGCCAGATTTAAGGACACTTGTGCTTTTCTCTCTTTTCTATTTAGCTGACTGATATCTGCAGGATCAGAAGAGAAAGCGCTGGAGCTGCTCAAGCTGAAAGACTCCACTTATGTAAACGAAATTTGTGAGAGAGATTAATGAAATCTGAGGTGAGATAATAAATATGCAGCGTAATTAAAAGGAGGATTTGTGTCTTCTGTCCTGCAAGCTTCTCAAACAGATGGGGAGTGCCCTATGTGGGAATTTCTGGCTCTGCACAACTCCCTGGCAGGAGGGGACAGCCGGGGGGGATTTGGGATCTCATCCCATGGAACAGGGACAGGAGGAGAGGGAACGGCCTCAGGCTGTGCTGGGGAGGCTCAGGTTGGACACCAGCAGGAATTTCCTCATGGAAAGGGCTGGAAGGGGCTGCCAGGGGGGTTTGGGGTGCCCATCCCTGGAGGTGGTACTGAGTGCTCAGGGTGGGGATTGGGCACAGCCTGACTCGATGACCCCAGAGGGATTTTCCAACCTCAAGTATTCTGTGATTCTATGAAAGTATGTGGCAAAGCCCAAAGAGTCAATCTTTGAGGAGTATTAAGTCTTATCCCTCCCTTTTAGCAATGAGGGAAACTGAGGCAAACCTTTACCAAATCTCCTGGCTGAACTGGTGAGACAAGTGGGGGACCTGGGTGTCCCTAACCCAGTTCCCTGCTCCAGGAGGGTGCTCTGGCACACTCCCACACTGCTGGAAAATGCAGGAGCCCTGATGGGCAGCCCCTCTCTGGACCTTACCCCTCCTGTCAGCCTGGAGCTATAAATCCACCAGCACAGTGAGGAGCAGCTGTGCCAGGCACAGTGTGAGGGAACTGCACTCTGCCCTTCCTCCTGCCTCTCAAACACACCCCGAGGTGAAATCCTAATTCCACTTGAACATCCTGCTCTCCATTTCCATACCTTTGGCTTGTCTGAGAGCTACTCCTCTCTGCTGGCAGCAGGAAATCCAACATATGTAAAGTAGGGATGGATGAGATCAATGGTATGTACGTGAATATATCCAATTCCAATCCAATTTTATCCTCCCAACCTAACAGGACTTCTGTTCTCGCTGAGCTCATTCCAAGAGCTCTGTTTGTGCTGGAACAACACCCCTCGGAGCACTCTGCTGTAAGCAGCCCTGGGGAGAGGAGAAAGCTCCCAGTGGGTAATGGAGCAGGCAGCGTGCAGTGGATTACAGCTCTAATGTTTGATCCAAAGGCACGCTCCTTGTCCAGGGACTGATCAGCTCCAGGAAGCTCCCAGTATTGCTGAGGCAGTGTGAGCTCTGGAAGCTCTGTAATGACTCTGAGTGGGAGGGAGATGGGAAATAACACATTCCATTAGGCTGGGAGTGAGAGCAGGCTGGGCTGCAGGAGCTCCATCTGCACAGGGGTGATATCCATGGAGGAGCTGTGCCACATCTGGGACACTTACACCAGTGTGCAGCAAGGTCAGAGCCTGCTCGCTTCACAGACACCCAAACCTTTACTCCAGGTTTGATTTTGCCACAGGGAAACAAAGCAGAATTCCCCCTCGAGGGGTAAACTACCCCCCAAACCCCCTCCAGAAGTTCCAGTGCAGGTCAGAGCTGTCCCCCCAGTGTGTCCTTTCCCCAGCTCCTTCTCTCCCAGGCGAACACCTCCCCTGTGCCACCCAGGAAGGAAAGTTTTCCAATGATGGAAAGAAAGAAAGTGAACATGAGCCTCTTGGATTTGCTCCCTGGACCATTTCCCACTGGGGTGATGGTGGGGCTGACGCTGTGGAAAATTCCAGAGAGAGATCCACCAGCAGGACTCTGCTCCTAGCCTTGGACCCAGACAAGCTGCATCAGCAAGGGCCAGTCTTGAACCCAGCCATGGTGGCTCATCCCAGTTGTCCCAGTTATAAATGAGCTTGGGATGTGATGGCTGGTTGTGACAGAGACCACAGAAATTCCTGTCCTGTCCTGCAGCACCAACTGTGGTGTCCAAACAGCCACCAAAGTACACCTACAACTTTTGGGAGTAAATTCCTTCCACCATCAGGGGCCTGAGCAGGAGAAGCAGAAATGTTTCCACTGGAAAGAGATGGAAGGACCCCAACCAGCCTCTTCCAGGCTGCCAGGGCTCTGGCTTTGGGTAAGAAGGAAATGGTCTCCAGGTTTCAGGACAGATCTCCATTTTCCCCTGCCCTGGAAGGTGCTTTGGCAGCCAACAGCACCCAGGTCACACCTGCTGGCAGGCAGGAGGAATCAGCTGCTCCAGAAACCAAACAAGAATTTCATGGTGGGATGAGCAGCCCAATAGCTGGGGAGAAGAGGAGGGAAGGGAATGGAGTCACCTCTGACTTCCTAAGGAACTGGGCAGGCGGCTGAGGGCTCTTGGGTCACACCTGTGCTGTGGCTGTCAGTGACAGGGTGACAAGAAAACCCTGACACTTCCCTGGGTGCCACGTGCAGGGCTGTCACCCAAAAGCCACGGCTAAGGAGGTGGCTGGGGACGTGGGATTTCAGCAGCCCATCAGTCAGCGGTGGAAGGGTTCAGCTGTGGGTTTGGGGTGCAGCACGGATCCGTTCCCAGGGCTCTGCTCACGCCAGCCCTGTCCCCAGGCTGCCAGAACTGGAGCGGCGCGTCTGCTCCTCTGGCATCAGAGCCGCTGCCAGCAGCTCTGAGGCAGCTTCTGGGCTCGCAGGGAAGGTGGAGGCTGTCCCCCCGTGCTGTCCCAGCTTCCCACAGCCAGCTCCGGCTGTTTCCAGCCAAGAAACGCTTTTTGCCGAGCCCATCTGCAGCCTCGGCACTGCTTGGTGCTCCCAGAGCCGCGAGGATGATGAAGGGGCTGCAAAAATAGAAAATCCACTGTCAAATTCAGCATTGGAACTGTGGACAGGGGATGGGAACAAAGATTGCCCATGGGGATATAAGGTCTGACACTTCTGTTCCTGCTGCCTTCCCTGTGGGGGCCAAATGCCTTCCAGGGAAGGCAGGGATTCTCCCATGGGGAGGAAGGCAAAGGAGTGGTGGATTTCTCTCTACAAGAAATAGGCACCTGATCCTGCTGAGCTTTGGTGCTGGCAGCCTCCTTCTGAGGAGGAATCACAGCTTTTCCCCCACCCTCCAGTTGTCCAACACCAATCCCATGTCCTCCCCTCCAAAGATTGTGCAATGAGGCTGCTGGGCCTGGGGTAATTCCCACGATGGGCAGAACCACAAGTTGAAAGGATAGGTTTGGGCTTTTGTTGCTGTTTTCTCCAGAAAAAGGTGAGTTCATGTAATTCCAGGTTTGCACCAGCTCAGCCAGCGCGCAGCTGCATGCCCAGGCAGAGCTTCTGCAAAGTGAGAGCTGTGAGCTCACAGGATCTGTGTGATAGGAGCAAATTGGAATTTTTTATTTACTTTAGACCCCTCTCCACATCGTGAGCTGGCAGAGGAGCACTGAGGAAGCTCAGCTTAGCGCGTTCACACTTCCCAGCACAGCTGAGTTTGCTCTTTTAATGGGCTCCCTGGCCTCTGCTGAGGATGTATTTGCTGTTGCCAACCTGATGAACAAATCTCAGTATCTCATTGCTGCTTTCTTGGATAAATTGGGAAGAGTGATGTGAGCTTTGGGGACCTGCTAAGGAGGAGGGTTCCTGAAAGAAGGAATAGGGACAGGACAGGATGCTCATGCTGTGCCAGGGGAAGGTCAGGTTGGACATCAGGAGGAATTTCTTTCTGGAAAGGGGTGTTAGCATTGCTCAGGGAGGTTTGGAGTCCCCATCCCTGGGGTGTCCGAGGAAGTCTGGACACGGCACTCAGGTGGGGACTGGTCACAGCTTGGACTCGATGTGTTGGATGGATTTCCCAGCCTCACTGACTGGGATTCTTTGATTTATGTCGGGAAGAGCTCAGTTCTTTCAGCTTCGTGCTCCTCTGGAGCCTCCTTCTCCCCACAGGTGCCATTCCCGAGGGACCACAGCGTGTCCCCCATGCCAGTGTCACACATCCATCACCAAACCTGCGGCACACAGCCAGCCCTCAGCACCTTCAGCACCGCTCCTCCACTACCTTTAATTAAATTCCAACATGACGCCACCGTATTTCAGCCGCTTTCATCGCTTTCTTTAGCGGCGGCAGCAGGAAAAAGCAATTACTGTTCATCACAGCTGTGCCAAAATAAATTTACAAGTCAACGCTTGGGTTTGCTGGTTTAGGTGTGGGGTGTGGAGAGACACCCCCCACCGCCCCCTTCCTGGGAAATATTTCATGGATCTGGATCCTGGTCCTGCCCGAGGTTCTGGCAGAGTTCAGAAAATGGGCAGTGATGATGGAAACGCGTGTGGGGGTGGCAGTGGCTGGGAAAGGGACGTTTTGTAGGAGAATGGCCCTAAAAGTGTCAGAACAGCGGGGTGAGCGAGACGGGAGCAGCCACACACAGCAATGGGGGACAACCCCTCAGGGACACCAGCTCGTCCCGCAGATGAAGCAGCTTTCGCCTTTTGCTTTCCCCATTTCTTCCGTTTTTTCCTGAGGGAGCAGCACGGAGCGGGAGCGGCCCCCTCAGCACACGGAGCCCGCGCCCCGCTCGCCCTTCCCAACATGGCGCCCGCCCCGCGCCGTTCCCCACACGCCCCGTGCCCTCCCCAACATGGCGGCGCCACCGGCTCCTCCCAAGATGGCGGCGCCGCTTCCCGCCCGCGGGGCGCTTCCGGCGGGGCCTGGCGCGGCCATGGCGGAGCTGACGGACGCGGAGCTCCGCAAGGAGCTGCTGGCGCTCGGCTACCGCCCGGGGCCCATCACCGCCACCACCCGCAAGGTTTACATCAAGAAGCTGGGCTGCCTGCGGGCCGAAGTGGCGGCGGACCGGCGCAGCGGCCGCACCGCGCCGCCCAGCCCCGGCCGCTCCTCCGCAAGGCCGGCGCAGGCCTCGCCCTCGCGGCAGCGCTCCGGCTTCACCGGCGGGGCCGCCCGGGAGAGTGAGGAGGAGGAGGAGGAGGAGGACGAGGAAGAGGAGGAGGAAGTGGGGCGGCCGCCCGCGTCCCGCTGGGGGGCGTCGGGAGAGAGCGGCGGGCAGGCCTGGGGAGACCCCCGGGGGTCCCCGCCGGGCCGGGCCGCAGCCAGCAGGGTTGAGGGCGGCTCCTCCCGGGACAGCCTCGGGAGGCTGAGCCCTTCGGAGCAGTGGGGCACGACTGTGGAGAGAGGTGGCGGTGGGCTGGGGGCATCCCTGGCCGGGCACGGGGGGCTCAGTTCGCCCTCGCAGTGGTACACGTCCATAGAGAGGAGCGGCGGCCTTGGGGCGGACAGGGCCGGAGCGTCCCGCTGGGAGACATCCAGAGATGTGGCAGAGGGGCTGGGGGCGACCCTAGATGGGTTTCGGGGCTCCTCGCTGCAGTCGGGCGCCTCGGAGAGGAGCGGGGGGCTCAGCAGTGGCCTGAGACCCACCCTGGACAGGTTCCGGGGGTCAAACTCCGCATCCCAGTGGAGCCCCTCGGCAGAGAGGAGCGGGGGGCTCGGCAGCCGGGCTGGCTCGGGCTTGGATGAGGTTGGGGGGCTGAGCTCCACACCCTACTGGGGCTCCTCGGCAGCCTCCAAACCCCTTCCCAGCGAGGAGAAATCCAGGAGCCATTGGTGGACATCGGGAGGGGGAATTGGGGCGCAGAGCTCCCGGGCTGCCTGGGACACGGCTGGGGAGAGGAGAGGGCTGTCTGACAGCTGGTGGAGACAGGAGAGCGAGGGGACCCCCAGCACCCAGCGGGGCTCCTCTGCAGCCCCCGGGAGGTTCAGCAGCCTGTTCAGGAGAGGGAAGGAGGACTCGGCTTCCAGCGTAGAGCGGGACACGGGCAGCAGGGCTGGGGGGCTGATCCGGCGCTTCCCGTGGCGGGCAGGCAGCGATGGGGGGCACGGAGTGACCCCGCGTGCCGCCCTGCTGCGCTCAGCGCCCCGACAGCAGCCCGAGAGAAAGGGGAAAGGCCTGGAGTATTACCTGTCCCAGTTCCTCTGCCTCGCCAGCTTGGTGCTGCTGCTGATCTTTCTGGGCATCCTCATGGTGAAGATGGCTGGGTCAGGCTGGTTGGACGGGAGAGAGGAGAGATGTACGTGCCTTGGTTTAATTTTCGTTTAAACATTATTCCTCATCTGTCTTCCTGCTTTCTCTTTATTGCTCCCATTCCCATCACATTTATCATTCTCATTGCCATAACCTGACATCTCTGTTTCTGTCCCCTTTTCCCTGTTCCTATGGGGACCTTTGTTAGTCATGGGAATCCAATCAAAAGTTTGCTTTTTCCAAACGAGTTTGGCCTTCAGTCCCTCAGAACCATGGGGTTTATGTGGAGTGCCATTCCTGCTGGGCCAAGGATGGATTTTATGGTGTGACACGAGGTCTGTGTAGTACCTGGGGTGTGTTTTTGATGTTCCCTCTGCCAGCATGGCCCTTCCCAGCCTTTGTTCTGTCCGAGGGGGAAGTGCAGCAGATCAATTCAGCACTTCAGGTGTGGCAGAGTGTGTTTCTCTCTTCTGTGACAAATGAAAAGGAGTTTCCCCAGCAACTGGCTTTTAAGGCAGAGTTCCCCAGCTGGAACAGTTGGAAATGGGGATATTTCAGGCTTTGAGCTGAACAAAGAAGGGTTTGAGGGCTGTTTTGGGAAGGAGCTGGTCCTGAGCCTGGGCTGCTGCATTCCCAAACCAGGATAAAGCTGCCCGTTGTCACTGGTTTGTCCTGTTTCAGTTGTGACAGCTCTGCAGGCAGGAATGTTGCCCAGGTTTGAGTTGTGCCACAGGTGCCAGGAGCTGTTCAAGCCTGCAGAGCCCAGAGCAGCAATCAGCCCTCCAGGAGGGTTCATTTCCCTCCCTGGCTGTGCTGGGATATTTCAGGTGACCCTGGTGGGCAGCAAGAGCCAGCACTGGAATGCAAAGATCAGCATGAAGCTTCTCAAACAGGAGCTGTTAAATCATCCAGCCCCACTTTTCACCCCCCAGCTGAACACATTCATCAGCTCTTCCTCAGGGCTGCTCCCAAAGCAGCTCCTGGAGGGGCTCTTTGCATCTCCAGGTGCTGCCAGGGGGACATGAACAATGGCAGAACCAGACTTTAAGTTGAGCCTGCTTTTAAAAAGATAATTATTTTCTTGATCAAAGCTCTTGTTTGCAGCCAGCTAACTCACCCTCTTCTCTCTCCTAGTTAATCTCTTGCCTGTGGATTGTGAGAAAAGAACGGATGATGTAAGCATTTATTTATTTTTCCTCAATCTTGTGAGCTCTCAGAACAGTGATTATTCCAGGTAGTCGATTCTACCCATAACAGTATCACTGTAAAATGATTAGTTCTGTCGTTTTACAGAAAAATTGGGACTTGATGAGATGGAATTAATGGGCCAGATTAAGTTAGGAGTGTGTATGAGACTCTGAAAGATAAAAATTTAAATTCCCAATTATGTGAATCAATTTCTTTCTTAACAGTTGTACCAGCAGTGGTATTGGTTTGCAATAAAGCTGTTTTCAGCTTTAACAGTCTAAGATTTAATCCAGCTAATTCCCTGAGCTCCACTGTGGAGTGCCTGCACAGCCCTGCTCCCTCTGTCAGGATGGATTTTGGGAAAAGCTGGGGCTGCCCCATCCCTGGGAGTGCCCAAGGCCAGGTTGGACAGAGCTTGGAGCAGCCTGGGATAGGGAAAGGTGTCAGGAGTGGAACTGGGTGAACTTTAAAGGTCCCTTCCAACCCAAACATTCCATGATTAGGAGGGAGAAGGTTTCCTGTTGGGTTCTGAGTTCTGGTGTGTGGGAAGTTCTGGAGGTGATGCATCCATCTGTGGTGGGTCCGGGGCTGGTGCTGCAGGCTGGGCTGTGGGTTGGTGGCACTTCAGAGAATCCCAGAATCCCAGACTGGTTTGGGCTGGAAGGGACCTTAAAACTCACCCAGTTCCTCCGGGCAGGGACTTCCAGAAGATGCTCAGGCTCACTTGTGCTGGAATGTTCCCCTGCTCAGGAGATTTGGCTGGAGCTGGTGGTGCAGGGCTGAGCCAGACTCCAGTGCTGTGGCTCTGCCTGGGGCTGCACTCCCACTGCTGACATGTGTCCCTGTCCCTGTCTGTGCCTTGCAGTTCTGCCAGGCCAAGCACAAGGATGTGACCATGGCTGTGCTGCACGAGCTCTACAATTACCTCTCCGTGCAGGCAGGTGAGTGCCAGCACATCCCTATCCCTGCTGAGCCTGCAGGAGCTGCCTCTCCCAGCTCCTGCTCACTTCTCTCCCACTCTGGAGGGGTTTATGGAACAGGCAGTTCCCTCTGAGGAGTTCTGAGGCAGGCAGGGAATAGGAAAACAGGGGAAGGTGGGTTTATTTTTGTTCTGAGTGGTGCTTGGCTAATGCACTCCTGTCACCCTGCCTGGGTGAGTGGGCCTTGTTTGTACTTGAAGTGTTGGGAGTTTCAGGTAGGATTGGTTGGGTTTGTTATACTTTTCTACCAACAGCTTGAAATTGTCATCAGGATAGAGGCAGGAGTGTAAACTGATGTGTTCTTACACATGAAGTGTCCTAAGAAATTGTCATTTCTGCTGAAATGTGGCGGCAGATGTGTGAGTGCCTCTCCTTTTCCTCACCACAGAGTGGGACAGGCTCTCTGAGATGAGGAGCTGACCCAGCACAGTCCCTGCTCCAGGCGTAAATCCAGCTCATCACTGTATTTTGGGATGGAGTAGGCTGCTAGAAATCCACTCTATGAGCAGGGACTTGTTCAGCAGGATTCACAGCAGTGCTAATCAGTACAAGGGTTTCAGTTCCATTTTCTGCATTTCAGACCTCAAGGCTGAAGCCTTTGGATACTGAAGCCGCACAGAATTCCTAAATCTTTTCAAATCTGACTTCGGATTTCCACCAGATTTACTTAGCACATTTGTTTAGTCAACTTGGTGAGGCAAGATTTAGAGGATTTAGTGCCTTGCCAGCATTTCTCTGGCTGGGTTGGAGGCAGAGCTGTGATTTCATCTCCTTGGAGGCATTTTGAACACTAATCATTGCCTCCACACCTGATACCTGGTGGCAGCTGTGGTTCTGTGCTCTGCAAGGGGCAGGAGCAATACTTTCCCCCTCATTGTGTGTTCAGCAGCTCTGAAGTGTCAGCTTTGATTGCCCTTATCCAGCAGCAGCTCTGAAGTGAGAGGTTTGATTACCCTTATCCAACCTCTGTGCAGTGGCTGAGCATTTTATTAATAGTCATCTGATCTGCCTGCAGTATAAATCTCACCCTGGAATCATTTTGCTGAGGGCTGGGGCTGATTGGAGAGGAGAGCATTTCTTGGTGTGCGTTCAGAGCCTGGTTCTGAGCCGTTCAAGGGCTTTTTTTTTTTTACAAACATGATTTTTCTGTTTGACTTTTCTTACCAGGTAATTTTGAGTGTGGAAACCCTGAGAACCTAAAAAGCAAATGCATTTGGGTTAGTGAGGTGAAGGATCACGTGCTGGTGAGTGAGCTCTGAGCAGCTTTGTTACAACCCAGTGCTTAGTCTCTTATAAAGCAATAAATAACAGACACTAAAACAATTCACCATCCATTTTGCTTCCTCATCCTGCTTTGATTCTCTCCAATATCTCTCACTTCCCCTTTGGCCAGTCCTGTTCTCAGCAGTTCTTTTGAAAATAATTTTCTCCTCCATCTCTGATTCACCCCCTGTAAATCTTAATGGTTTGTTGTTTCACTGGAGCCATCAGTCTTGTGCAACCAGAAATTTCCCAGGATTGAGGGCTGGGCAGAAGAAGGATTTTTCTCTGCTGCAGAGTGTCAGGAGACAGACTGCTCTGATCCAGCATTCCATTTCTTTCCTGGTAACCTGTCAGTAAGATTATGTTGTATTTAGTGGTTAGCCCTAACAGTCTGGGATGGTGTTATTTCACAGAGTGCTTCATGCATCATCTCCCCAGTCTGAAGACTTTAGGCCAGGCAGACCTTCAGGCTTAGTTCTCCTCCCTCCAGTTTGCAGAATCCTGATAAGAATTAACCTGGGGACAGCCCCTATGAAATTAATTGCCCCAGTGCTGCAGTGAAATCATGTTGGTCAGTATTTTAAATGAATGGAGGGCTAATCTTCTTATGGCTTCCTTTGCACAGAATGTAACTGGCGTCTCCTCACGGAAGTTTGAAGCTGCCCTGCAATGGATACTGAACAGCAACAAGGATTTGGGAATTTGGTGAGCAGAAACCCCCTTAACAGTTGTTTGCATTTTCACATTGCTAAATGTGTCTCTGATGAAGTCAATTGCAGCAGTTGTGGTGCTGGGGTTGGTGGGCAAGCTTGTTGGAATTCCCACTGCTCCATTTGCTCTTAAATATTCCTGCAGCTGCTGCTGTGATCCACGGATCAGACAGCATCTGCTGCTTTGATTCCTGGGCTGTGCAAATTCCCAGCACAGGGCATGGCTTCTTTAGGGGCAGGGCTGGATTTGTAGGTGGGCTGGGATGCAGAGTTTTCAAATTTTGTGTTTTTATACTCCAGCACTTTTCCAGTCAGAAGCTGTGGGATACAATATCCTCCTACTTTTTATTTTGTTAATTAGCAGCTCTGCTGGCTGGTCCCCAAACTGCTCCACTTCCCCGGAGCCGGCGTGGCAGCATCCCCAAAACCCTGCCCCTGGCATTTTTAGCTACGTGAGATTATTTTTTAGTTGCTAGTCTGAGAGGCAGGACTGAAAATGAGCTTTGCACTGGGTGATTCTGCTGCATGTTTTAAATATTTCCGTGGAGTTTGGGTTGTAAATAAGACAAGAGGGTGGGATCCAACCGTGTGTGTGCAGCTCCTGCAGAACCCAGACCCGGCCGAGCTCTCTGCAGTTTGTGAGCTGAGCACCTGTAAATTGAGCAAACCTCTTTGTCTAATGGGCTGTTCATAATTAGGAGCTTAAAAAAATTAAATCCCCTTTGTTCCAGTTCCCCTGGATCTGCTGCTGTCCCTTGGACCCCTCAGTGCCTGGGCTCTGTGGGAATGGCTCAGCGTGGAGCGAGCCTGGGCTTGGGAGCAGCAGCGCTGCAGGGAGGGGAGCTGAGGGCTCTGCAGGGCTCTGTGCTGCTGCTCTGGCACTCTTTGAGCTGCTCCTGCTCCCAGCCTGGGTCCCCCAGCTCCCACTGCCGGGGCTCTGACTCAGGGAACGTTTCCATGTCCGTGCTGGGAGGTGGGAATCCAATTCCCAGTTGAGAGGGGACCAATTCCCGGCTGAGAGGGGCTGTCAGAGAGGCAGTGCAGGGATGCTCAGCGTGCCAGTGGGAGCTGCAGCTCTGCTGCCTTCCTGGAGCCACATCCACCCCTGGCTAAGCAGCCAGTCCCCAGATGTCCTGGCAGGAGGCTGTGCCTGGGTGTGGGGGCATTTCCTGCCAGCAGGGCAGCCGCAGTCTGCTTGTTCTCCGGGCCTTGATGAACGACTGCAGTTGCAGCCTGCTCTCTTCAGTGAGTTTTTCTTCCTCTCCCCGTCAGGTTGAGAGGCAGGGACCTGTCTGAGCCAGTTTCCAGCGTGGAGGAAGTGTTCTGCCTGGAATCTGCCCACCCCCAGATGGGGCTGGGCTGCCGCTTCCGCCGGGCCGTGGTCACGGCCATCACCAACCTCTTCCTGTTCTTCTGGGGTAAGTGGCTCTTGGGCTCAGCTGCAGGCATGAAACCCCTGTGATCACACATTCCTCAGCTACAGGAACACCTAACAGAGGTGAAATAAATCTGCTGATGAGTTAATGTCTAATTAACCTTTGTTCTGGCAGCACAGGAGAGCCGCAGCACTCCTCTTGTGCTGTGAGTGCTTAAAAGTTGCTTTAAATCAGGCAGCTGATGAGCTCTCTGGGTTTTCCTCAAGTGCCCATTATTATGGGCTGCAGAATAAGTGTGTTAACTTACCTTAAGGAGTCAATTTTTCTTTTTTTTTCTTGCTCTAAGCTCCCAGGTCCTCCAGCCTCTTTAATAATGACTTGTAGCATTTCAGGGTTGGAGGTTTTATTGGAATAGTCTGTCACGCCTCAGCTGACACAGGGGTTTTACCCAGCGAGGTGATAACGAGAGCTGTGTGACTGCAGGAGTTTCTAATCCAACCTGACAGGGAGGGGGTGACAAGGGACAGTTCTGTTTATTGCAGACACTAAAGTCCTACTGGGGGCATTGTAACTGCTAAACCTTCCATACACATCTCCTTCATTTTGGGCTGCCACTGGAGTCCCAGGCTTTATATCCCTATCCAGCAGCTCTCCATCGAGCAGTGAAACCTGACAGTCTTCCAGAGTGATCCTTGTTGGGGAGGTCCATGGCAAAGCCTCCTCTGGGATTTGCAGACCTGGGGCCCTGTGGTTGTGCTGAGGTTTGTTCTTTCTGTGCTGAGGCTTCCCCACCACCTCATCCCACACCCACAGGTGCTGCAGGGGGGCAGCACCAAGGGGTTTTTGGGGTGCAGCTGCTCTGGGGAGCAAGAAGAATCACTGGGATTTGGTTCCAAGCAGGCCTGGGTCACACTGTGAGATCTAAAACAGCATCCAGCAAGCACACAGCAACAAAAGGAGTCACTGGGATTCAGTTCCAAGCAGGTCTGGGTCACAGTGTGAGAACTAAAACCTCATCCAGCAAGCACACAGCAAGCTGCCAGTTCCTGAATCCCCTTTGTTTTTATTCTCCCAGGTCTGATAACCCTTTGGGGCATCCTGCTCTACCTCCGCTATCGCTGGCGCAAGATGGAGGAGGAGGAGCAAGCCATGTATGAGATGGTGAAGAAGATCATAGGTAGGAGCTGTGGGAGCACAGGGGAGCCCTGCTCTGCTCCTGCAGGGTTGAGTTCTCACTGCTGTGTCCTCCTGTCCTCCAGCTGTTGTCCAGGACCACTACAAGGAATGGGAGCGGAATTTGGAGCGTTACCCCTACGTTGGCATCTACCACGTCCGGGACAGCCTGATCCCTCCTCAGAGCAGGTGAGCTGCTCTGGGCACTGCAAGCAGCAGGATGGGATTCAGGACAGCTCCAAAATGCATCCCTGGAGCTGCTCTGCAGGATGAGGCTGGAGCCTTTGGGTTGGGAAAGGCTTGGGCACAGCTCAGCTGGTGCAGATCAGTGTGGCAGCCCCAGGCTGGTACTTGGTGCAGTGCCCCAGGTGTGTTGTCACTTGTGCAGAGCCCCAGGTGTGTTCTCCTTGTTCTGTCCAGCAGTACCTGGGTTTGGTTTGCTTGGACCTGGAGCATCAGGTGTCCTTTGTTTCATCTGCTGGGTGTCTGGTGCTGTCCCCTTTCCCAGCCATCCTACCTGGCTCTCCAGACCAGAACAATTCCTGTGAGCTGAGCAGGATATTGGGGCTCCTCTGCAGTGATTGTGTGCCTGGAAAGAGGCCAGTTTGAGTTGTGCAGCTGGGAAGGGAGCTGGAGTGAGATGATTTGGTTTGAGGCATTCTCAGGTTGGGTTTGGGGCATTCTCAGACAGGAATTGTTGTCAAGGTCATTGCTGTGTGGGTGGTGGGGCTGAAAGGCTGCAGGGCTGGATCCTCATGTTTTGCTCCATTTCTGCAGGGTTATTTCTGGTGTTTTGGTTAAATGGAGCTGCTTTGTCCTCCTGTGAAGTGTTAAACATCCTCCCTCTGTATCAGAAACAGGATTGCTTTTCCTACAAGGGATGACTGCAGCAGTTAGAGCCATCCCTGGCTGTGAGATGGATCCAAAGCTGGGGTGAACATCAGGGTGTTCCCCTGGCTGAGATCTCTGTGTGCAGGATGGGGGAGGGTGATTTGCTCATCGTGTCCCTTTGCAGCACAAATTGAGGCAGAAATTCAGGGCACTGCCAGAGCCTCTCATCTTCCCCCCAGGCAGGATTTGTGTGGCCATGCCCTGGTCTGCAATCTCTAACCCAGGGTTTGTTTGATGCCCTTTTCTGCCTGCACAGGGAACAGCAGGCAGCCAGATCCACAGGCACAGTTGCTGTAGGCACAGAAGCACAACCAGCTTGGGCTTCTCATTTATTTTCTCGCTGTTCCTTGCAGGAAGAAGATGAAGCGGGTGTGGGAGAGAGCCGTGGATTTCCTGGCCTCCAACGAGTCCAGGATCCAGACAGAATCCCACAGGGTGGCAGGGGAGGACATGCTGGTGTGGAGGTGGACTAAGCCCTCGTACCTGTCGGACTCAGAGCACTGAGGGCAGCAGAGGAGCAGCCCTGGAGCCGGGTGGGACACGGAGCCTGTGCAGCCCTCGGGGCCCTCGCTGCTGTTGGGAGGAGCAGGGCCTGGCCCGGGGTTGCTCTCACTGCTGAAACTCTCCAAACACACACGTTCAGGGCAATACTGGCTTGGAAAGAAGATGGGCTTGAGCTGGTGGGAAGCTGGGATTGCACCAAAGTGAGCCTTCCACAGAGACCTGGCTGCCGTGGCAAGCAAACAACAACCTGCAAAGGATAACTGCACCTCCTCTCCAGGGCTGGGGGGCTCTGCCAGAGCCTGGGGGTGCACAAAATTTGACCTCAATTCTGCAAAGGCCAACTGGTGGCAGAGTCCATCAGGGAATGTACTGAAAGATAACATTTCCCATGGAAACATTAGGGTGGCAGTTGCAGGCGTGTCTTTGTTTGCGTTTGTTTTTATCAGTGCAGAGACAGTGAGGAAGCACTTGCTGCTTCCCAGCAAGGAAAATGTTTTGTGTTGGCTTCATCCATCCAAAACGGGAGAGGGGGAATTGGGGAAGGTGGGCCTGGAGAGAGGGGGGAGCCTGACGTGCCTTGGTGGTTTGGGCTGGGCTGGGGGTGGTGGAGGAGAGTTTGTGATCCTGTTACATTTTTAAGTCTTCAGTCTGTGTGCTTTATTATTTTCTGGGGGTGTGGGCGGGGGGGGGGGGGAATTTGGGTGGAAAATAAAGGATATAGGAAACTTCTAAAGGTGCTTTCCTGGGGCTGCTGGCCAGGACTGCTGTTCCTGAGCAGCTTTGGGAGGGCTCTGAGGGCTCAGTGTTCATGTTTGAGCTGGGCAGCTGCAGTGTCTGCGTTGGTGTCAGAGCAGGGAGGTGCCTGTCGCTGTTCCTGCAGCCCCTCAGGGGTCCCAGGAGCAGCCTGGCTCTGTCCCAGCCCTGCTGCATCCTGTCTAATCACTTGGTTACTTCAGTTTCTCTTTCTGTTCAGCGAAGGAACGTTTCTTTCCCAGGAAATGGCACCAGTGCGTGGCAGTTCAGGCTCGGCAGAGGAGCTGCTCTGCTCCTCCCGGGGCTCTGCAGCAGCTGCTGGGGCTGCAGGACCCAAATCCTTCACTGGCCAGGCAGGAGGAGTCACAGAGTGAAGCCAGCAGTGATTTGAGCCCTGTAGCCCCTGGATGCTGCTCTCCTCGAGGACATCCTGGGGCTGGGATTGCTCTGGGCTGGCTCAGGGCACAGCCCTGGGCAGGTGATGCCACCCCAGGTGTGCTCCTTGTGCCCCCTCACCTGGCACAGCCTGCACCTCTCCCCACGTGGCTGCAGCAGAGCTCTCCAGATCTTTCCCATTAAATGGGGAATATCCTGCATGGAGGTGGCTCTTACACAAATTTTTGGGTGTGGGTGTTTGGGCAGGAGACTCAGCAGCTCTCCTAGGCAAGCACCAGCCCCTTGCACTGCAATAAATTGGGAATAAAGGCAACTTGATTTTTCCCACATGTATCATCAGTGCTGCCAGAGAAATTCTCTCAAACACCGGTGCCTCTGTTCTTAAACCTTTTTAAACTCTTGGTGGGGTTTGGGTGAGCTTTTTTAACCATCCAGAAGCACAGAGTCAGGCATTGCTGTCATCCTTTTGTATTAAACCTGGTTTTGTAGAACAAACTTCAATGGCTTGGTGCTGTTTCTATGTTCCATTTAGCTCTGTAAAAAAAAATCAATATCAAAAATAAATTTATTACCAATAATTTACTACTTTTATTTGTGCTGAGACATCACAGACTGTCCCAAGTGTTTTTGCTTGGATCGAGTTCCAACTTCTCTGGGGTGTGGCAGGAGTGGTTCCCCACCGCAGTGAATTCTGTGGAAAGGGGTGACTCAGTTGGGATGAATTCATCTCCTCCTGTGGCTCTGGGTGACAGAGGGCATTTCCAGTGGCACAGGAAGGGAGTGGCACCTGGCCAGCAGGAGCTGCCTCTTCTCTGGCTGCCCTCCTTGCTGAGATTTGGGAACAAAAGGGAGTGAATCGGTGCCAGGCTGATTCTCCTCAGGCCCCACATTCCTGGTGGGATGTTTTACCCAGGTGAGGCTGCTCAATTCCAGCTGGAATCCCTTCCAGGTTAGGAAATGGTGCTGTTTGGAGCCACTCCATATGCCAGGGGCTGTTGCTGTCTGATGGTGGCTGTGAGTGTCACCCACCGTGTCCCCTGTTCCATCTCCTCTCTCCAGGTGGAGCAGCCCCATTCCGTGCCAGACTGGACTGGAATTCTGGCAGTTTTCCTGGGAAAAGCCGGTTCTGCCCCCCTGCCCTGCTCCCTTCCCAGCCCCCACTGCTGAGGCCCTTTCCCACTTTTTTGCAAAGTAAATTTCTATAATGAACCACATTTCTATAAATAACTCACCCACTGGAGCTGCTGCATCCCCTCCCTGCCAGGGAGGCAAACGTGGCCCAAGGAGGGCTCTGAAATGAACTCAGCTCTTCATTTTTTCTTTTCCTGCTTCCATTTAGAGCCCTTCCCACGGGATGTTTTTCCTGCTGCTGACACCACGGCTGATGCTGCACCTTATTGATGGGCAGGAGTCGGGCACGGGGCCAGATCTGGAAAGATCCAGGGGAGCTGAGGCCAGGCCTTGGCAGTCTGGGTCTTTCTTTCATCCTTGTCTTTCATCTCAGCCTCTGCCCTCACCATCACTTCCATCCCTCTGCTCGAGCAGGGGTAAAAATGCACCTGAGACAGGGTAAAAATTTAACAGGGTAGAAATCCATTTGGATTTAGGTGAAATGTGCCACTCTGTGCTTGCTAATTATGCTGTTTAATCTGGTGACTGCAGCCCTAGCAAAACTACCCCAGCTAAGGAGAAAGAATGCAAATTTCCACACTAAAGAGATAAAAAAGACTCCTCAGACCTTAAAATGGACAGGGCAGAGTGACCCAAGAGTTTTTTCTGTACTTTCTGACAAAACTGAGTACAAGTGTAACTAGCTATGAGTGAATGTAAAATCAGCAGAATAAATATACATTAACCTATTGTGAAATTCTATGCATATAGAAATTAGTAAGGGTAATTCATCCGTGTTTCACACTGATCCTTATCCCCCAGCTGTGAGATTTTCTTCCCCAGCATTTCCCCCATGGCATCCCTGGGGTCCCAGGGTTGGGCATGGCTATGCTGAAGTCCTCAAGTTCCTGGGGTGGGAGTGGGCACTGTCCCCTCCTTGTCCTGGTGCTGCCCAGGCTGGGTGTTCCTTGTGATTCCCTGAAAAACCCATGGATCCCATTAATTTGGGGTGCAGGAGCCCTTGGCACTCGCTGCCCAGCACAGCAAGGCCCAGGGGGACACGCTGTCCTTGAGGAGTGGCAGCAGGGGACAGCGTGGCCCTGGCAAGAAGCTCCCTGGGACTTTTCCATTCCCATCACAGCTCCCAGCTCTGACGTGTCTCTCTCCCCGCTGGCAGGGCTGGAGCTCTGGATCCACTCATCTCCTGCCCAGCTTTGGACAATCCCTGGCCTTGCCCACACCCTTCCCTTGCCACGAAGGAGGATTTGGTGTCCCCCAGCCCCTGTCACCCCCTGTGCCTCTCCTCCCCATCTCCCTGGGTTGTTCTTCCTGGTGTTTTGGGATCTCTGGGAAGCTCCATCCCTCTCCCAGTGTCATCCCGCTCTGCAGGGAGGTGACAAAGCCGAGCTGAGGGGAGAGTTCTGTGGAAAGCAGATGGACAAATCCGCAGCTGTTTTCCTGGAGAGCCGATTTCCCAAGGCAGCCGGAGCCTTGGGCTCCTCTCGTCCTGTTCCCTGTCCCAGGCAGGCTGTTCCTGCCCAGCCCAGCCCTGCTGGAATGCCAGCTGGGCATTCCGGGCTCCTGCCAGCGCCGACGCACTCGGGCCATGCCCAAACGTTCCCTCATTGCTCCCTCAGGAGCTGCAGCGAGAGGCAGCGAGCAGCCCGGCCCAGGCAGCACCCTGAGGTCCCACAGCACCCCGAGGTCCCACAGCCCCCAGCGCCCTCCTGCACCCCCAGGTGAGCTCTGGGCTCATCCCAGGGCAGGGTGGGCACGGCTTTGGAGGGGTGGGATGTTGGCAGGAAGGGATGGGAGCAGCAGGGATGGCACTTGGGGCTGGTGGGAGTCTCTGTATCGCCCTGGAGCTGGTGGCTCTGGGATCTCCATGGTGCTGGTGGAATGGCTGGAAGGCGTTGGGCTGGAGGAGGGGAGGGAGGTGCTGTGCAGGGCAGAAAGTGGGCAGGGGGGTGAGAGAACCTGTGCCCTGTTCTGCAGGGTGTGGTGGCACTGGATCCTGTGGTGGCACTGGATCCTCTGGTGTTACTGGGTCCCTGGTGGCACTGGGTCCTTTGGTGGCACTGTGCCCGTGGTGGCACCAGGTCCCTGGTGGCACTGGGTCTGTGGTGGCACCGTGTCTGTGATGGCACTGGGTTCTGTGGTGGCAGCTGGTCTGTGGTGGCACTGGGTCCTCTGGTGTTACTGGGTCCTTGGTGGCACTGTGCCCGTGGTGGCACTGGGTCTGTGATGGCACTGGGTCTGTGATGGCACCGTGTCCCTGGTGGCACTGGGTCCCTGGTGGTGCCCGTGGTGGCACTGTGCCTGTGGTGGCACCGTGTCCCTGGTGGCACCGTGTCCCTGGTGGCACTGTGCCTGTGGTGGCACTGTGCCCGTGGTGGCACTGGGTCCCTGGTGGTGCCTGTGGTGGCACTGGGTCCCTGGTGGCACTGGATCTGTGGTGGCACTGGGTCCCTGGTGGCACTGTGCCCATGGTGGCACTGGGTCCCTGGTGGCACTGGGTCTGTGGTGGTGCCCGTGGTGGCACTGGGTCCCTGGTGGCACTGGATCTGTGGTGGCAGCCGGTCTATAGTGGCACTGTGCCCATGGTGGCACTGGGTCTGTGGTGGCACTGGGTCCCTGGTGGCACTGGGTCCATGGTGGCACTGGGTCCATGGTGGTGCCCATGGTGGCACTGTGCCTGTGGTGGCACTGGGTCCTTGGTGGTGCCCGTGGTGGCACCGTGTCCCTGGTGGCACTGGGTCCGTGGTGGCAGCTGGTCTGTGGTGGCACTGTGTCCATGGTGACACTGTGCCCGTGGTGGCATTGGGTCTGTGGTGGCACTGGGTCCCTGGTGGTGCCCGTGGTGGCACCGTGTCCCTGGTGGCACTGGGTCCCTGGTGGCACTGTACCCGTGGTGGCACCGTGTCCCTGGTGTCACCGTGTCCCTGGTGGTGCCCGTGGTGGCACCGTGTCCCTGGTGGCACTGGGTCTGTGGTGGTGCCCGTGGTGGCACTGAGTCCCTGGTGGCACCGTGTCCCTGGTGGCACCGTGTGCCAGCTCTGGGGCTCCGTGCAGGGCTGGCTGGGCTCCGGGTGAGCTGCAGCACCGGGAGCTGTGCCCGCACACATCTCAGCCACTCCTTTTCTTGCCTTTTCCATGAAGTGAAAAACCCCCAGTGCAGTGCTTGGAACCGACTTTGGAGCTCTGGGATGCTCCTGGGGCGGGGAGGTGGCACGAGGGGACCCTGAGAGCACAGGGCTGTGCACAGAGCGCTGGTTTTTAGAGGAATTTTGCATTTTAACATTTCTGGGTGTTTCTGCCACGAGGAGCCATCCTGGCCTGGCTGTGCATTGCCACGGGGGCATCCTGTTTGGGATGGGATGGGATGGGATGGGATGGGATGGGATGGGATGGGATGGGATGGGATGGGATGGGATGGGATGGGATGGGATGGGTTTGGGATGGGATGGGAGTAGGTGCCATTCAGAAATTAGCGAATGGAACCTGCCCAGTTCCTTTTGGCTCGGTTTGGAGTTGGGATGAACAACCCATTTCACTGAGACTGCTTTGACATTTGGCCCTGCCTGGGAGCAGGGTGGGAGGTGACAGTGCCAGGGGAGCAGCACTGTCCCCAGCACTGGGGCAGAACTCATCCAGCTCCAGCCCTGCCAGGAGCAGGAACACCTTCCATGCTTTCTCCAAAGCCCCATCTCCTTCCTGGAGAATGGAATATTTCTCTTCTATGCAGAGGAATGTTCTCCATATCCTCCTTCCCCGATATTTCCTGGCTCAGCTCCACCTGCAGCACCTGAACTGCTTTTCCTTTAGCTGGGGGAAAAACGCTGACAGATTCTGGTTTTTCTTGGAGGGTCTTGATTTATCTGTAATTCCGTGTATTTTTAGTGACATAAATATCTCCTGGCTATTTGTGATACCTTGAGCCAGTGGAAGTGATTTATTTCCAGTGTCTTGTTTCAGGGGAGCTCAGTGTTCACAGGAACATTTATCTGCTCCGAATGGATGAGCTGCTTCCCAGCAGAAACTCCCAGAAAAGAACCTCCTTTTCCTACTGCAAATCCTGCTCCGAGTTTTGCTTGGGAGAAAAAACATTCGGGAGCTTTATCAAAGTGTGGATGCTTTTCCCCCAACTCCCTCTGCAATGCTAAGAGCTGTCAGGGGGTTGTGGCAGCTGAATCTGAGCCTTGGACTGTCTCAGAAGCACCAAAGGATTTAAGTCGTGTTGTTCCCTGCTCCAAAGAGGTGTTATGACAAATCCGCTTGCTTTTGGCTTTTCTCCTTCTTTTTAAGGATGGAAGGAAGGGGAGGGGGAGGGCACAGCCACACAAAACAAACCACAACAAACCTGCGGCTCCTGAGGCAGAAAATCCTCTTTAAAAATTGCCACAACTTAACAAAATGCTTTTATTAACGCCCAGGGAAGCTCCGAGGAGCCGCTTTCTTCCCGGCTGGA